GCATATCAGATAATTATTCTATATTTTTTTCTGAGTACACCAACCTATTTCTATGCTATCCCTCTAATTCCTAGTACAGCATTTTTTTCCTACAGTATCCAGCCATTCCAACCTAGTACCGTATTAAAAATAACCAGATATTAGCTTACAAGACTTAAGAGGACAATTTTTCCAGAGATGATTTCAACTTTGCAGAAACTCTTGAAAACCCCTGGAAAGCACTAGGAAATCTTCCTGTTCCACACATTTAGAAGTGAATGGAACGAATAAATAAATCTAGCAATCCTCCAGTTCAGCTCAGGTTAACAAAAAGTTAATAATCGTTTATGTGAAATGTGCCAGCATGACTCCTTCTACCCATCACTCTTGATTCAAAATAGTTTTGGCTTCCTAGAAAAACAAACTCAAATGCTTATTGCAAATAATTAAAACATTTCTATAATGTTGTTTTTAAAAATCAGACTCTTATCCTACTTGAACAAATAACAATCATTTCAAAAAAGAGGAAAGTCAATTCTTTCAACCATCAAAATATTTATGAAGCAACACAAGTATAAAACCTGTTTCATGAGTTGGAATAATATTTAAGATGTATTTTCAGTCAGAATACTTGTTTTAACTTCGTCAATTTCTAGAAAGTCATTCTTACAAATCAATTGTTACTTAATCGCTAATCTCCCATCTAGCCCAGAACAGATGGGTATGTGTTACAATGATTCTCAAACTTTAGAAAACTGGGGGGGAAAAAATCCTTGAAAATATGCTGACATTTGAAAAATACTAAATTGACAACTACCCTGCTATCCAGTTAATTTTGATTGAGAATGGAAGAATACCAATACTAAGAAACAGAAACAAATATAGGAAACAAGTAGTGAGCATTAAAAAACCATGCTGTTTTTATTTCTCTAAGAATCTTACCACAATTACTAAAGAAGCATAAAATTGTATTTTACTCAATTAAAATCACTTATGGAACATCTCTCAGATTCACCTCTCTTCCCTCTTTGGGCTAAGGACAGAGAAAGTGACTTTTGTGGTCAACCCACATCCAATTAATCTATTTGCTTCATATTTTTTTTCTGAGTACACCAACCTATTTCTATGCTATCCCTCCTAATTCCTAGTACAGCATTTTTTTCCTACAGTATCCAGCCATTCCAACCTAGTACCGTATTAAAAAATAACCAGGTATTAGCTTACAAAGACTTAAGAGGACAATTTTTTCCAGAGATGATTTCAACTTTAGCAGAAAACTCTTGAAAACTCCCTGGAAAGCACTAGGAAATCTTCCTGTTCTCCACACATTTAGAAGTGAATGGAACGAATAAATAAATCTTAGCAATCCTCCAGTTCAGCCTCAGGTTTAACAAAAAGTTAAATAATCGTTTATGTGAAAATGTGCCAGCATGACTCCTTCTACCCATCACTCTTGATTCAAAATAGTTTTTGGCTTCCTTAAAAAACAAACTCAAATGCTTATTGCAAATAATTAAAACATTTCTAATAATGTTGTTTTTAAAAATCAGACTTCTTATCCTACTTGAACAAATAACAAAATCATTTCAAAAAAAGAGGAAAGTCAATTCTTTCAACCACTCAAAATATTTATGAAGACAAACACAAGTATAAAACCTGTTTCATGAGTTGGAAATAATATATTAAGATGTATTTTCAGTCATAATACTTGTTTTAACTTGTCAATTTCTAGAAAGCTTCACTCTTACACAATCATATTGTTAAATCAGCTATACCAAAATCTACTGTGAAATCATTCCATTTCAATATTACATTAACACAAGATCCAATAATCAAGCCAAATACCAAACAGACCCCTTAACACTCACTCTGTTGCTTCCAACAGTTGCAAATACTAATGGATCTCCTTCTTTACTGTGCCAGTTAAACTGAACTCCAAACAATGGTTGGTTATGATCTTCCTATAAAATAATCATGAAATAAGAAAAATTAAAGTATCTTAGAAACTAAAAAGTGGTAGTAAACTAACTTTGCTCCTTCTAATTTTTTCCAAAAAGTAATTCATTATTTTGTGTATCACTAGGGTTAACATTTTATAATATTGTGTATGATAAAGTTTGAAAACAATTAGAAGTTTAAATCACAGGTTAGATTAACTACTTACCTATGAAAATACTTTGATATTTGCCTTTTATACTCAAACTCAATCATATTCTTCTAAATCACAATAAACTGGATAATTCTGGTAGACACCTTTAACCTTAACCTCTTGGGCCATAAGAACACAATTTATTTTTCTGAAATAGGAAACTAACAAATGGCCTTAAAGAGGTCATTTTATTGGGCTCAGTTTTTCCCTTGTAAAGTGATGTATATCAGATGCCACTCAAATCATTGCTTTCTGTTAGTCCTATATAAACAATTTTAAATAACCTTAAATTTGGGTCTTAAAAGAAAAATATCCCAAGAAATTATATAGTAAACAAGAACACTTGAATAGTGGTGGTAGGGGTGGTAGAGAATGGACTGTAACCTCACAATAACTGGAGACTATAAGGAGATACGTGCAAAAAAATTATTTACTTTTGCTCACAAAGTTATTTTTCAGCTTTAGGATTTTACTGGCAATCTCCTGGCATTTAACACTAACTTTTCACTTTAAGACACTGTATTCACTTTTAAAGTAACAACTTTCATTTTCTTATCACTTGAAAAGCCACAGATTCAAGCTTTTGACATACTAAGATGGCACTTAAAAACATCTATTAATACCTAAAAGTAGCAGGTTAATACAAATAAACAATAACATCAAACTATAATGGACACCACATTTTTTTAATATGCTGAGATTCATTTCTCTCCTTTCATAGGGATATAATTTGACACATTGAGCACTGCATTTTGGCTATATTGGAAAATGTCATATAGTCATGACTTCTTATACTTTCCCAAGACTTTACCAAAAAGTATATTTAGATATTTAGAAAATATTTTAACTTACATATATATGAGATAATGTAATATATGTTTTCCCTTATATAGAAAAAATAACCCCGAATTTAAAAAACAAGGCAGAGAAGAAAACATCTTGAACATCAATAATCCTTTGTATAAAGTAAATAGAAATACTACTAAGGATACAGTAATTTAAATAAATAAACAATAAACCCCTTTTCCCAAATACTGAATATTCAAAAGTTTTTAAAATTTTATACCTTTTTCTTCAAAAACAATTACAAATAAAATAAAGGATAAAAGTTAAATTTTAAAAACTGTACAAAGTAAGACATCTGTTTCAGTTTATACTGACTCAAAAGTCAACAGGTGACACTCAGTTCTTTTTAATAACTGGTGCCAGAAGTGGCTTAAGAAGAGTAACATTTCCTAAAACCTTTTACTTGAATACAAACAATAAAGTAAAAACAGTCTGTAATACTCAGTGTCACACATTTAAATTAAAACAAAAATCAAAACCGAAAAAACTAAACATAGATGGACTATACTAAATACAGTCTGAACTACAAAAAAAAAAAAAAAACCCTTCAGAACACTGTAACTTTAAAATAAAACTTGACAGAGTATCTTGACTATAAAATGTGTGCCACTGAGAAAGAAGCCCACAGGATCTTTCTGCACATACCTTGAGACTATTTACACATTTGAAAGAATATTTGCATTTCTTTGACTTCCATTTTCCCTTTCCCCAACTTTTCCTTCCAGGTGCATTTGGCGTGTTTGTAGGTGTATCAGGGCGTTCAGTGTTTGTACCACTTTCTATACTGACAGCATCATCCTGTAAGCAGTAAATTAGGGAAAATTACATGAAACAGCAATACTGTATTCAGCAGCAAATTAACTTTGTACTGGGAAGATGTGGAATGACCTAAAACAATTTCTGCAAGAAATGGAAAAACTATTTTTTGCCTCCAAATAAGGATAAAAAGTAATCCAGCTACGAATTAGAATTTTTGTAGATATTTTATATTTCAGCAAAAATGAAAACAAAATACTAATGGGAATGATAATAGAAGAGTAATATTGTCTTAATAAGGCCTTGGTCTGTGCCAGTCACTTTAATACACTGGATCATTTAATCTTTACAGCTTTTCACAGAAGGTATTGTTAAATAACGGAGTATTGTTGAGATAGCCTAACTGGTTGCTGGCAGAGGTTGCTAGAATTCAAACTCAAAGCTGTGACTTCTATATGTGACTGATGTACATGTCTTCATAATTTATTTGACTATTGCTCAGCCTGAAGCACAAGGAGTTAGGCAGGTAGCCATTTGAAGCAGGAGTGTTAATGTTTCCTCCTTTAGATACAGTTTTTAAAAATCCTGTTATTCAAATTCTGCTTATTTATAACACAAACCATTTAGAATTTTTTTAAAGTTTTAAAAGCATATTCTATGCTATTTACAAGTGAAATCTGCCTCACAGTTCTAAAGGAATAATAATACTCATATATTAGAACTCTAGAGACACTCCATAGTTAAATACTTTCAAATACAGAGATGACTGCAAGAAACCTTGAAAATTCTCCTTATACCTTATCTCCAGTCCGGAAGGCATATTAATGGCCCTCTAATCTCAGAAGATTTCACTGCCTCCTTTGATTACAGATTCCAATGTCTTCTTTGGAATAAAAGATTTATTTAAATCTATGATCTTAGGGCAGTAGTTCTGAAATTCATTCCAGAGGAAGCCTTTTTTTCATGAAATACCTAATAACATGTGTTAGAACACAGTGTAGGAAACACTGCTTTAGGGGCTATTTCTAAATTACTGCTTCCTAAAATTGGTTTTATATTACAGAAAGTTAAAAATTAACTAGAGTGTCAAAAGAAATATAAAAAGTCATATTAATTCACTTAAAAACAATATGGCATTATACAATTCTGGGTGTTTTCAAAACTTCAAATGTTTCCAAATGAAATGCTTTTTTTTTTTAAAGTACACTATCCAAAACATACTGATTATGAAGTATCAAAAATATGAAGTGGATAGGCTGCACAAAGCAGGTATTCAACAAATATTTGAATTGCAATTTAATGTAAATGTAATTATCTTTATAGAAATAGAAAATGTGAAATTTTTATCTCTCTCTCTCCCCCCCCTTTCAGTCATACTTATATTATCTATAGGACACCCTTCCAAGTATTCAGATTATAGGGCTTTATTTATTTATTTTATTTACTGAGACGGTCTTACTCTGTTACCCAGGCTAGAGTGCTGTGGCATCAGCCTAGCTCACAGCAACCTCAAACTCCTGGGCTCAAGCAATCCTCTTGCCTCAGCCTCCCGAGTAGCTGGGACTACAAGCATGCGCCACTATGCCCAGCTAATTTTTTCTATATATGTTTTAGTTTGCCAATTAATTTCTTTCTATTTATAGTAGAGACGGGGTCTCGCTCTTGCTCAGCTGGTTTCGAACTCCTGAGCTTGAGCGATCCTCCCACCTCGGCCTCCCAGAGTGCTAGGATTATGGGCATGAGCCACCTCGGGGTCCTTAAGTCTTTAAATTCTAGGTAACTGATAGACTGCACAGATTTTGTCTCCACAGTAGAGGTTCAAAATGTCTTCCTTCCCACTCAATGGAAAAAAAAGTTTTTGTCTCCGTTTGCAATTCATTTCTATATTCCTTTATTCCATATAAATTTGTACTGTTTTGACTTTTCTGGTTAACAAGTTACTATATAACATTTGCCTAGTTTCCTCAGATGAGTAAAACAAAAATTTTAACACGTGGTCACTTACCTTTTTCTGAAAAATTATCTTTTGACACTAGAGAAATGAAATAATGAAACTATGAGACATTTCTATACCAGCTTCTTTACATTCTGGCTAAACAATGAGCTGCCAATCAACAGGCCACACAAAACACTGTCAATAGGGCACACTGCATATTTTACTTCTGACTACTTAATTTACCCATGTCTTCCAAAGGCAAATCAAGATGGAATCAAATGGAAATGTAATACAGTCACAATGTTTTCATTTTATCTTTAAATCAAAATCAAGTCCTTGCTAAGTGTCTAATGTATGTACAGACTGACTTCCACTCTACCCCCCTCCTCAAAGTACAAAATGATACTGTGCAACAAATACGGCACTACCTCTTCATTTGCTCAACAAAGAAACAGATACAAAGACAGAAATTTGTCCTTAATCTTGCCACAGATTACTTAAGCAAAAAGAAGTCTCCAGATTCAGCCCTCTCATCTTACTACCAACCCAACCATTACTACTCTTCCACGAAGTTTGATAAAATGGCAGACAACATATACAATAAATTTAAAATGTGTCCTTTTAATTCTTTTACTTACTTTAACAATAGTAAATGTTCAGGTTACCTTAAGTCCAACTAGAAAACACATTCTTCCTCCTGTCTGCTTTTGGCCTTTTGTCAATATTCAGCTCTCTCAATAGCAAAACTATTGCCCTTGTTTGTTTTTTCTGAACTCATTTTTATACAATGTTCTCTATTCCCTTTCCCTACTGCCTCTCCTGACCTAAGTCCTAGATCAAGGATACTTGGACGGAATTTAGAGGGCCTGCCAACTCCAATGGGGGGGTGTGGGGGGTGTGATACCTACATCTTAATTTTCACCACCTTTAACTGAAATTTAGTACTTCCTTCTATTATAATTCAGGTAACTATAATTCATGCTAATATTACAGGAGTTGTAACTTTGTCACCAATGGAAATCAGGTACTTTCACATTATATTGTAGTTGCCCCAAATCTCGAAAAACTGTATGTCCAAAAAATATACACAATTTTATGATTGATTTTGTTTGTAACCTTATATTCTGTATTTCATACATTTAAAAATGTTATTCTGAGAAGCCTCCACAGGATTAAGGCTTCCAAGGCACGCACACAATTAACCAAAACAAAGACTAATCCAAACATTTGGTTCTGAATAGCTTTAAAATTGCACCAAAGAATATATTCCCTTTTAAGGATCTGCAAAAAGAAAATGATCTTTCAATTTATTTTGTCCCCTTAAATTTTCCTCATCGAAACAGGTTTGACATTTTCATTATCCCTGATTATTAAGTATGTAGGTGCCAGAAACATAACTATATTCTATGTAATCGAAAAATAAGTAGTTATTATAAATAATTAACTTGTGTACAGTATTGTATGGGGCAGATACTCTTCTAAGCATTTTACCTATATTCACTCATATATTCATCACAAATACCCCATGAAGTAAATACTGCTATCTGTGCTCTTAATTAATACTCTAATCTGCCTAGAGAAATTTAAGAAAATGCAAAAATAAAGCCTCCAAGGACTGGAATGAAGAGGGCCCCAAAATGTTAGGTCCCAATATATAGTGAGATTGGGGAGCACAAACAGGAAAAAGATAAGGTTAAAGTAACATTAACACCCACGATTTCCTGAAATTTCAAGTCTGAGATCCCACAAACTGATAATCCCCAAAATACCTTTCTTCTCTCTGCAAAAAGAATCATTTCCCATCTTTTCAGTGAAAATCTTGATTATGACACCATGCTATATATATGCTTCAGTGTTCATGATGTAGAATTTAGGAAGATATAGCATTTATTCCTAAAACTAGCCAAATTGAGAAAATGAAACTTCACCACTCTTCTAAAAGATTTTAAGAAGATGTTCAGAAGTTGTTGCCATTTATCATGTGAAGCGGGTTCACGTTTTGGTGTAATATCTTTGAAAAAATTGTCAAGACATTTCGCTGACCTTCCTGGATTATCAATAAAACGCGAAACTGAAAAGTTATTCGGCTATTGCGAACGGGTCACTTAAACACAACTGGGTTAACTGTTGGGGCGAAATGATTACCAATATCCATTTCAGAGCTTTAAAAAAAAAATCTGATTCCAAAACACCTTACACTTGCCAAAGCCACGAGCCCACACTTACTATATATATATGCCTTTACCACCGTTGCCTGAAATGCTCCAGGCCATCCCCCTTTACCTTAAGCAAAAACTTTCAAACGAGAAACCGTCCTCTCTCATTCCTCCCTTAAAGGTGGCTCCCCTCCAAATCAGAACACGACCCTCTCAATTCTGCTGCTCCCGTAGAAAAGGCAATCTCCACTGATAACAACGGAAGCACACACAAACCCCCTTTAATAAAGTCTCCCAAACTCCGCAAATCTAAGATCTACGCTTTCGATCCTGAAGATTCCCTAGGGGTCTAAGAATGACACAACCACTAAACTCTTTCAATAGGGTCCCTAACAAACTCTGCCCAACTTTCTTAGAAAAATCTCTAACATGCCTTTTAAACTACTGGAATCTAAGATCCGCTAAATGTCCCAAAGGCTCGAACGCTCGCCCATCACATGCAAAAGGATTTCAGAGCAGACCTCCCAGACCCACGCAACCACCTAACCCACTCTCCTTCGCCAAGTTTCTACTTGCTCTCGGCCCCTGCTCAACATCCCCCAAACGACAAGTTCGATTTTCTCCCGCACGCCCGCGTTTTCCCCGAGCAGAGAGTGACACCTCTCCCTCCCCCATAGCCGCCCGCCCGCCCCCGCGCCTGCAGTTTCAAAAGCACCTAAAAGTTCCACTCCAGAGTCCCGCGGCTGTTAGGAACTGCACTCACATTCTCGTCTCCAGAGAGGTCCGGGTTGCTGTTCTCGTCGCTGCTCAGCTTCTGCTTCTTGGCTGCAGGCATGTCTGTTCCCGCCGGCGCTGTCGACACTTCCCTCTCGGACATATTCCTCCGCCTCCCTCCAGGTTCCTGCCGCCTCGGGCGGGGCCTCCGCCACACCGCCGTCAAGCAAGCCCGGCCAGAGCTTGCCGCAAAGTTGCCGCTGCCGCCGCCACCTCCGCCGCTCCCCCCACTGTCGCAAATTGCGCCCAGCCGCCGAGGCGGGCGTGCGTGCGACCCCGCCACACTGCTGAAAAAGGGGCGCGCACGCGCGCCCTTCCGCGCGGCTTCCTGGCTCCTTCCCTTTCCCTGCTCCCGTCTTGCCCTTTTCCCGCCGCCCTCCCGGCAGTTTGCTGCGAGTTGTACGATCCGCGGGCTTAAGAGGGCAGTATTTCGTATGTCTCCCTTCCCCACCACCGCCTCCAAAAGAAGAGGCGGAACTCAAAGGGATGCTCCCTCACCCCCTTTCTCCTTCCAAAGACGTTTCAGCCGCAATTGGCCCAATCCTTCGATCTCCGACCCGCTGCTAGGGAGCGAAAGTCTGTGGAATGGACTAGACCACCCATGTCCCAGGGGCCGGGGGAAGATACGAGAAGTCACTTCTTGCTTTAACTGTTTATGCCAGATGTTCTTAATCTTGAACTTGGTGGATAATGCTCTCAATTATCCAGGGAACTACTCATAACCTAACTCTTGTTTGAGGATGGAGATCCAAAAAATGTACACTGCGTTCCACTTGCCTCCCCCATCTAGCAAATGGAAAGTACCCAGCAGGAGATGCGCATGCGCCGAGGCGTATTCTCGCGCAGGGTAGTCGGGACCCGCCTCCTCCAAGCTCCTCCTCTTTCCAAATTCTTGTTTGCTGAACCGGGTAGTCTTAGACTGGGTTTTGGTAACCCGGGATGGATTTCAAAGCGCTACGAAATTATAGTCTCTGATCCCGCCCTAAATTCTTGTCGAATATTTATTCTGTTGAATATCTATTTAAATGAGTGATTATCTAGTTGGTGCCAATATTTAAGGTTTAAATAGAAATATCCTAAAATTATATGATTCTAGACTCCAATGAGTTTCAGCAGAAGTGCTCTTTTTAACCGCTGAAGGAGTATTAAGGCCCTGAACACTACCAAGGCCTATAAATCATGTTCATCTCCAACTATGAATGAGGCTGTGAGACTTAACCGGAGGACAATTTTTTTTGCACATCTGTTACAACGACAATTTTAGGAGAGGACAACAAAACATACTTCACCAAAATAATTTTCTGTGTTATTATATCTGTGCTGTTGATAGGTAACAAATGCATTGGTGATCCATGTGGACTTGGATGGGTCATTAAACCATATATTTGAATGAGCAGCAAGAAAAGGCAAATGATGGCAAAAAATAAAATGCAATACCCTCCCGCTCCTTTTATTAAGAACAGAGTTGTGACTCCTTAGCTTTCTGGGTCTCAGTGTCCACATCTGTAAAAATCAGGAGGTAAGAAGGGAATTACCATTTCTTGAGCAACTATATTTTATCTTTTAGACCTCATTGCATTACCCAGTGGATAACTTGTCTAGAGCGCACCATCCATAAAATTCTAATATGCTTGAATTACTTCTGCATGATGCCTTTACAGCCAGAACATCAGTTTCATTATCTGCAGATTGCAAGTCACTCTTCCTTTTGGAGATAAGGAGAGAACTCAGTTGAGAATGAGAAAGGGAAAGGAAAGCAAAGGCAGGGCAGAATAAGAGGTTTTTGCAATGAAGACTCAGGAAAAATAAGGAAGCTGAAAAAAGATAAATTCAGGTCTTAATAATTGCAATTATTTGTTCAATACTTCTAATATGCCAGTCACTACTAAGCACTCCTCAGTTGCTGAGAGAGAGATGAGACTGCTATAGAGTCAGCTACTGAGGAAGTAAGCTATGCTTTGGACCAGCTGCAGTGACTTGCACCTATAATACCACCTACTTGGGAGGATCCCAAGAGTCCAAGAGTTGAGGCCACAGTGAGCTATGATCATGCCACTGCACTGCAGCCTGCGCAACAGAGCAAGACCCCATCTGTAAAAAATACAAAGATGTCCTTTGGTATGACGATTTTATTGGCAGAGACAGACATACTCTCCTTTGTTGGAAAGGATGTTTCTGAAATATAACTCTACAAGTAAAGGATAATTAACTGAAGCATTTTAAATTAAAATTACTCTGTGTGTGTGGGATCAGTGGGAGCTGGGAAGTGGGAGTCAATTTCTAGTCATAAAATTAGACAAGTGCTGAACATTTGGATAAAGGACACATATGGGAGGAAAATGCCTTACAGCACTCATTGCAATAAAGCAAAAATATTTTTAAAGAGTCTTATTAAAACTTGGAGGGATTATTTTTAAATTTTTCTGATGAGTCAAGGATGATAAATGGAAATTAGTTCATATTCATTATTACTATGTTAAAGAAAAAAGAAAAAATTATTCTGACACTTGTTAAAACAGTAAGGAAGATTTCATTCAGGACTATTTTAATAGATGTCAAGACTATCACAATAGAGAAAAGAGATCTGGCTCAGCTCTGAATACAAGGAGTGGGGCTTTATAGTCAGAGAGCAGAGTTGGAGGGTCAGTAGTTGGAAAATTACAGTGAGGGCTATCAAGAGTAGGGAATTCTTGCTAAACCAACTTAACAGGATTTGTGCTAAAGGAAAGGCATGGTGATCAGATATCAAGGGTGTGGGATTCTCTCTAAACTAACAGCATAATTCTTGCTAAAACTGAATCAGGCAAGCTGAAGACAAGACCCAAGGGCAAAACCTAGTTAAGAACAGGGTTCAGAGGCACCTGACTAAAGTTTGATCAAAAAGAGAGTCTTTGTCATTAATTTAAGATTCGTAAAATATCACAGGTATTCTATTTAGAGTACTACTTTTATAGTATCAATGTAATAAATATAAAAGTCCAATTACCTATTAAAAATCATAAGTTTTGTCGAATGCAATGATGCATGCATATAGACCCAGCTACTCGAGAGGCTGAGGCAGGAAGGATTGTTTGAGCCCAGGAGTTCAAGGCCAGCCTGGGCAACATGTGAGACCCCATCTCTAAAAAAATAAATAAACAAATTATAAGTTTCTCAACACTGAATTCTCCTGTGAGGGATTTCGGCCATCACAGTTGGAGCAGTCTTATCACCCACGTTTTATAAATGAGCAAACTGAGGCTTAGGGTAATTAAACAATTTGTCCAAAGAGACACAGCTCTTCAAGTTGCAAAGCTAAGGATTGTATGCAAGTGCTTAGAAACCCAAAGCCTTTTACTTCAAGATGAAGAACCCAGGCAGCTCTAGATTTATGTAATTGTATTCGCAGAGCTTGGTCTTTAGACTACACAATCTTTTATACAATATCACAGAACATCAAAAAGCTATCTCTCTTGAAACAGAAAGAGTATATAACTGGAGAAATCCAAAAGAAATCTAGAGTATAATTAATAGTGATGCGTGTATTTCAGTTTCTTCATTTTGACCAATGTTCCATGGTAATGTAAGACGTTAACAATGAGGGAAACTGGATGAGGAGAATATGGGAAATTTCTGTGCTCTCTTTGCAAATTTCCTGTAAAATTATTCCAAAATAAAAATCTTATTTAAAAAAAATATATCTCCTATTAGACTGGTTGAGAACTCAGTTAAGAAATACTGCTTAGACTATAAATAAGTGGTTGATCTCTCTCAGAAAACTTTCTAAGATCATTTAGTTAGATAGAAAAAGAAAATTCACAGCCTTCCTTGGCATTGTGCTCTAGTATCTTGTAAGCTTCATGTCAGGAAATGAGTTTCAAAAGCTAAATTAAATCCTTCCCATTTCAACTGAAGTCTATTTCTCATTCATTCAACATTTTTGTCTCTTCTGTTTCATAAATAGCAGCTGTTCATCATCACTCATGCAATGTGTAATCATATGCTTGCATATCTAGTTTTCTATGAGCAGAACATCATATGGCTTCTTTGAACATTTTAAAATCAATCAGGAAGAATTTACTAAATGCCATTTATGTGCAAAGCTGTATGGTAATTCCAGGGGGCGGTGGCGGTGGCTACGGGATTGGAAGGGAAAATAAGACATAGTCCCTACCTTCAAAAAACCTCATATTCTTCCAGTGTTAAAAAATATCTCATGCATTTAATAAATATTTACTGAGTAACCACCATGTGCCCAACACTATTTCAGGTGCTGAGGAGACTTGATAGCAAGCAACACCAGACAGGTTCCTGCTGTCTTAGAGCTTATTGACTAGTAGGCAAAACAAACATCAATGGAATAATCACCAAATAAATGTAAAATTACAACTGTGGTAAGTGGTATGAAAGGGAAGCACAAGGTCAGGATTGCTGCTAGCCCATATGGTATCTTCGTGCTATTTTTAAAAAGACACCTCCATAAGCAGAAACAGCCCAGAGTAGATACAGCATGGCAAGCAGACTACACCTTTGGTGAATTAGAAAAAGGCACCGCTTATTTCAGGTTGATACAGCCGGGCTCCAAGGCAAAGGCTTTGTGAATGGAGCACGAAATGGATTTCAGCTCTAGTTATCACCTTAGCTGGTAACATTTGTTTAGATGAACCATCTGCACAAGAGTACACAGCAGTCCTACAAAAGTTCCACAGACATATGTAATAAAGTGAGGCTCGGGAAGGTTTCCCTGAGGAACAGACGAAAAGAGTGAAACTAAAAAAAGAATAGGAGTTAACCAGGTGAAAGAGGAAAAGAAGAAACATTCCAGGGATGAGTTATAGCATGTACAAAGGTCCTGGGGCAGGAATGTGGGTAGGGGACAAATGCCATTGAAAGATCAGTGCTGGTAAACAACTGAAAAAGCAACAGGAGCATGATAATAGATAAAGCTAGAAAAGGAAGTCAGGGATCAGATCAGGTAGAACCTTGTAGACCATCTTAAGATTGCTATGTTAAAATATATCTCCTGCTGATAAGACTTATATAGAAGGAACTAGAATAGCATTACTTTATTTCATTTTAATTTTTGTTGGTATTTCATTTATATGCAGTGAAATGCATAGGTCTTAAGTATAGAGTTCAATGAGTTTGGACATAGGCATACACCCATAATCCACACACCATCAAGCTATAGATGAAACTTTCCAACACTTCAGAAAGTTCCTCATGCCTTTATCACATCAAACCTCTCCTTTCTTCCTCCCCAGGCAACCACTATTCTATTTTGCCTATATTAGTATATCAGTTTTGCCTGTTCTAGAACTTCCTATAAATACAATAAATCAGTGTGTGCTCTTTTGTGTCTGGCCTCTTTTGCGCAGCATAATATTTTTGAGATTTATAATTTGGCACTAACTTTTATTTTTATTTTTGAGACAGAGTCTTGCTTTGTTGCCCAGGCTAGAGTGAGTGTCATGGCGTCAGCCTAGCTCACAGCAACCTCAAACTCCTGGGCTCAAGCAATCCTTCTGCCTCAGCCTCCCGAGTAGCTGGGACTACAGGCATGTGCCACCATGCCTGGCTAATTTTTTCCATATATATTAGTTGGCCAATTAATTTCTTTCTATTTTTAGTAGAGACGGGATCTTGCTCTTGCTCAGGCTGGTTTCGAACTCCTGACCTTGAGCAATCCTCCTGCCTCGATCTCCCAGAGTGCTAGGATTACAGGCGTGAGCCACTGCGCCCGGCCTGGCACTAACCTTTAAAGAAAAATCCTGTCTAGATTAGTGGTCCTCAAATTGTAACAGGCATTAAAATCATCTGGATAGCTT